CTTTCTGCATTGTTCCCCCCCCCCCCCCCCTCCAAGTCGGTTAAATACTCAAAGCTGTGATGAATGTGATTTGTACCGTCTATATGGCAAAAATAACCTTATGTAGATATATGTTTAGCGCATTGTCCAGCGTAAAGCAGCAGTTCTTTTTCGAATCATCCGAGTGCGTTTAGCGTCAATTCTGAAATACGAAATTAAGATCTTTAGTGTAGTCAAGGCGAGTTCTTTTATTTCAGGTTCTCTTTTGCATATTCTTTCTTTTTTATTCGATTGGTAAATTATTCTATTCACCGATTCGAGGCGTTTCGTTGAGGCAGTAATTAAAGGATGGTTTTATCTAATTTTGGATCATTTTATATGTTGCGACTTCTGAGTTTTGAAATTTTCCTTAATTTTTCGTTTGATCACAATACTTGGAGAAGTGATGAATTTTCCATGTAAGTTTGAGCCCGAGGCCCTTGTTGGCAGCGGTGTATTAGAATAATATCAGACTCTCCTAAAAGTGAACTCCTTCTCTAAATCAAGCTGCTTTTGTTTTCCTAAGACTTAGAGTATCACTCGAAAGAGCGGATCAGGCACTCAAAACACTACCAGAGATCCGTTCAAGTTGCAACTTAGTAAGGTTCGAAGCCAAAACTGAAAAAAAAAATTTATTACCTGAAAATACGATTTCTGCGAAAAAATCCTACGGACCTCGAGCTTCTTCATTCATAATACAGTGTGAACACAGTAGCACAGAAATAAATCACCAAATGAATCTGAATGAATGGAGTCTGGCATGAATCCGCCACGCTCCTTGGCATGCAACATACAAGGGCCCCCGGTTCACTAGTATGTTCAAAGACTTCGTTTGCAAAGAGACGGAACTTGACATCGACATTGGGATTGGCATGTTGTTGGATAAGGGAGGTACTCGGAAAAGGTAGCGATAGGCACGTATGAGAAGATTTTTGAATCTCGCTCCCGTTTTCTAGGTTTGCGTGCTTGCGAAGTTTATCTTGGAGGTACGGCTTTGAAAATTGGCTGTGAAGGTGAGAAAAAAGGGGAAAACCTTCAATTATAGTTACTCGTTATCGATATTACATGTGAAAAAGCCTTGAAATAGAACGGTTGTATACAACTCATTCGTGATGACATGCATCGCGCGGTGAGTTTCAAGTCATTATGCGGTCATGAAGAAAGCATATGGATAATAGCTGCTAGCTTTGATAGCTCGGATCCACCTAAAGGAAGCCCAAGGTAATTGTTATCCTTATGGTGACTATAAGACCAAAATAAATCCAGTAGTAGCCCATTCAAAATTGCATTTGTTCTTCTCCGGGAGAAATTTTCTTTCAAAAATTACCGATCTTACATAGAAAAGCTTTGAAAATGAAAGGTATTTTACAATCCATTCGTGATGACATGCATCGCACGGTGAGTTTCAGGTCATTATTATGCGATCATGGAGAAAGCATACAGATAGTAGAGCCAGTGCGAACCTCTGCGAAGCAGAGGTGATGTACTGGTACATAATAAGTCAACAAGAAAGTATCTACGTATATAGTCAAGCAAGACTGAATCCACGTTGTCGCGTATTAAACTTTGGGCATCATCAATATCTCACAAAGAAACATACTTGGTGTCCGTGGCCTTTTGAGATGAAACGCATACCGTCACACTCGTCTTAAAACGCTGATTCCGAATCTTACTTCCCTTTCTGCTAATCGTTTCTCTAAAAGAAGTTATGAAGGATTTTCGCGTCAATGGTCGCCCAAGAGAAATACGGTCGAGAATGCCTAACTTTCAAAAAAAACCTTGTTTGAGGCAATCCAGAACTGAAAAATACAAAAAACTCAAAACGGGACCTGCATTAACTTGTGAGGCTATCGCACTAGCCGCTACACCATATCGTAGCTGCGGTCTTGGCGTTCCGAACATATTTCCTTTGCAGCGATAATCCTTCATAACATTTTTCAGAGAAATGTTTGGCAAAAATGGAAGTCAGATCAGGAATCAGCACTCCAAGACTTAATGATATACATCTCATCTCAAAAAGCCACGGGTACCGAGTATCGTTCCCTTGTCAGTCTCAAATGAAGTGTTGCGTTTTTCCTTTGAATTACACATCCAGAGTTTATTATAAAAAACGTAACTCATGCAAGTATGCAACTTTCCATAATAGTAGCAAGATAAGTGGCTTACTTTATATGAGGGTAATTTGCAACTTAGAGGTTGTTGTAGAAGAAGCTCTGAATCTTAAGTATATTCTTTCCAAATAAGGTTGTCGACTATTTTCCACATACTCTCTTTTTTGAACCTGGGATGTTGTATCGGATATCGTGTATTGTTCTTCTGCCAACCGGGTTTGTGGTTGGCAGAACCAGGTTGTCGACTGTTGTGAATCTGGTTATCTCAAGAAGATTCAATATCTCATCTATAGCAAAGGCTATGACAAAAAATGCTCATGGATGGATTGGTATTTCAACAGTATACATATATATTTATGTATACGATCTGGTTTAGATAGTATGCATAGTCAAGGATACTGAATATGAAAAATGTGAGCTAAATTTGTTGCAGATCATGACTGCCCGAACGTTTTGGAAGAAACGATAGATGATCGAATAACACGAATTGCTCGGTTACCAGTAAAAGAGATTGTTGAAAAAATTATTGGGACCTGAGAACCTTGTTTGTGGAGTGCAATTCCAGTCTGGCAGAAAGAAATGCGCGGATTTCGATTACAAACTTGGAGGTGCAAAGATTCTATGCTGCAGGAAGTGGGCGATTGCAAGTTTATGGAAAAAAAGTTTCGTAATCGGCGAAATTAATCAGCAGAAATGAGCCTTTTAAAAAATATTTGAAGAACTAATAAATTAAGCATGTTAGCAACTAATCTTGCTCTCTTTTGAATCGAATGTTTTTTGATACCAAGTCAACCAGCTTTCACCGGAGGGCTCGCTCTGACACCCAAAAACAGGGTCATCATCATAAGCTTTAGAAGAAGCAAGACTGAGATTATTCGGTGCAAAGCGCTCTTTCTTTTGGCTTTACTGGCTTGTATTAGGTTGTTGCAAAAATAATGTCCGTTTTGCAAATTTTCATTTTGGAAAACTATAACTTCGTTCAGTCTCCATATTTTTAAATGCGGTCAAGACCATCAGAAACAGCAAACCTTTCTTAACTTAGCGCGCCTCTGCCCATACTATATCGCAAACGGGAAGAAAACCATGCTTCAGAAAACTGAAAGTTTTTCTCTTGAAAACCTCATCTTCAAGAGCTTACAGCCCACTTCAAGCTTTGTCCCTATGTCTGCTAATCAGCTTATAATGTAGATGCAGGCCAATAGTATACGTGAGTATAGAAAGAAACTCCAACGAAGGATTTCTGCGAAAAGAAAAGATGAAAATTCAAAAATGTTCACTTTTTTGAGCCTATTTGTTGTAGGCTTGTAAGTGCCTAATTATGAGAATTTGGAATTTTTGCGCACTGAATAGCTAAGTTTCTCTTCAAATATTGTGATTAAGGAGTGCTAGTTTCAAGCTTTCAGAAATGGGCGAAGCTTTGGCGATTGCCTTGATTACGAGAAATTTCTGATCCATAGAAAGCCAGCAGCGAGTATCTATTTCGAGGCGTCAATTTCTCAATCCAGATATCTCCAAAAAATCTACATAAGCATGCAGTGAGTAAACAATCTTCATCCAACACATTCGCTTGGTTCCAGAAAAATTCGTTTATTTGCTCCTGAAGTGTGGTCAAGAAAGTGAAAGCTATGAGATTCTGATTTTGAGTGCGGACGTGGAAAGTGCTGATGAAATTCTCACAAATGAGGATAGCAGCTTAATTTCACCACCATTAGAAAGAACATGAAGAGAGCTTTCCAATGATATGCAGAGCTATATCGAAAAAGAAAGTATGATGGAAAAAAGTTGTTTGGAATGTAGGCCTAAATAAACGGACATTATTTTTGCAACAACTCAATACAATCAAATTCCCCATCATGGGATAGAAATTCGGTATTAGTCCTGCGTTTTATATACATATTGCTTCTTCGTCCTAGGGCTGAGAATTGGCTGGTCTTTTGTTTTTTGTGTTACTGATTTTCTTTTTGATTCGGTTCCTATTGTGTTGCACCGTGAGGGTGTACATAAAATTATAAAAAGTTATAGAATTATGTTAAACAACTCCTTTTGCAACGAAATCTTTGAAAGGGATCAATTCACTTGCAGTTAAAGCAGGCTGGGAACTTTTTTCGATTAATCTAAAAATAATTATAACCTCGTAATTGAAGCTGAAATACTGCAAAAATCCAGACTATCGAGAAACTTTGGCTTCATCTTGCATGTTACTTTCAAATCCGTAAGAGCTTAGGTTTGCTTATTGCACATGTGCTGAACAACAATCTTTAATTAAGTAATGAAAATCCACCACTTATATTCTTTGTTAGGGCCAGAGCTTAGCCTTCATTCAGAAGAGGTTCTGATTGACAGCAGTTATATACGTCACCCCTCCAAAGGATTTACCGATCGTTGCTCCAATGCGTTCGGCTGCACGGGCATAACCATTGCGCAAAGGCAGGAGGGGATCGTCATGCGAACGTTCGAGTTTTGTCTGACTGGGTAATCACATCAAAAACATGATATTGAAAACCGAGAGTGGTGGCGGTACCGGGCAGCGCAGCCGGTGCCCAAGGTCACTCGCCTCCCGCATATCCGATCGACACGCCAATGGCACCGCCAAATACATTCGCTTTTTAAGACGAATGACTAGTCTTCCTTTCTTCACTGAGGATGCGATAGCTGATACCTTTATCCTCGGACGCTTCATCTCGCATGTGAATATGGCCTCTATTACGCTTATCTTGAGTTCGATATCTTGCCATTGATTTCTTAATTTTACTCTCGTGTCCACACACGAGCGATGTCGGAGTTAATTGCACCGTCAACCTAATCGAAACCTATCAAAACAGTTGTTCGAAACTCATTTCGTTTTCATCGTGATGCAAATCCTGTTGCTACAGATTCACAAGAAAAAAGAGATCCTGTTCCATAGTGTGCAATGAGCACTGCGACGGTCACTTACCACAAACTACCGCCGATTTCCGGATGGACTCCGAACGAACACGAGCGCGATGCGCAGATGAGAAATGCGCCAAATCCTCAACAAGGCGCTTACCCTGCAGGGCAAGAATTCGGCGGTAAACATCTTGCAAGAAATTTCCAAACTCATCTTCCTCAGCCAAGTCTCTATTTCGCTGCGAAAATGGTGGTTTTTGAGCACTTTTATACTACATTTTTACAAATTTGATGAAGAATGCTCATCTCTTACAATTTTACTTTTGTTCTAGATGTGTCGAGGTATTCAGCCTCAGAAAAAAAAAATTCACTCTTTGTTATGTTTCTCTAAATAACCACAAAAATGTTTCCCGCCAAATCAATCCATTTGTCTCCTTTTTCTGAAAAATTGAAAAAAAAGCTCAGTATTCGAGCAATAATTCCAAGTTTTTCTGATATTTCAATTAATGTTTGTGAACGGTTTTCTCTTGATCCATTTTCAGCATAATTACGTCATAATTTTATGGTGTATGCGCCGATTAGCATACTAAACGCTCAAAGCAGGTCCAGCGATTTAATCGAAAACTATTCGATTTTCGACCGAAAGCAAAGAGATTGCGTTATTTCATATAATGTAATCCCCTAAGCTGGCCAGTGGCAGTGGTTCTGGTTTTCGATTTTGATTTATATTCTTATTATAAGATGCATTTCACATAGTCTGCTTCCGGTTTGAATTCCAGTAACAATCATAATCACAGAAACATGCATATAACGTGGCCTAAGATATACTGGTGATGTCAAACTGTAAAACAGTGAAAAAGTTGATGTTGGAATTATGCTCGCTATCTTCTTCTGTTCTTAGAATTATTTACACTGAAAAACTCGGGATTGGCAGAATAATCATGCTAAAATTGTTTGGGTCTTATTCTTGGCGATCTTACCTAGCTTCTCCAGTTCTACTAAGACTACGCAAATTTTCTTTAGTTATTAAATAGTGGTGCTCAAGCATCCGATAACATGAGACCTTATTGTACAATTGTTCTAAACACTCAGGAGAAGAAGTGAAATGGTCGCACTATCTTGCACAAGAGCGATTTCATGATCAGCTTGTCCAGACTCCCGCTCAGGTAAGCTTTTAAAAGTCTTCGTTTTGAGTCCAAAGGAAACCACATGTGTTTCGCGAGCATTAGTATCAAGATTGTCGTTGTGCGGCCTTGAGCCTCGCTTTCGCAAGGACGCCGGCCGTCAGCGAAAAACAACATCTCCAATGTTTTATCAAAACCGTTTTCAACAGTCTACAGACTGAGCATTTGATTTACACACATGATTACTGTACATTCAGCCACCGACACGGAAACCGCGCGGGTCCAAATGTAGAGCTCCAACCTTGGCGTTGCCCGGTGAAGAGCTATGCCTTGTTTGTGGCGATAAAGCGTCAGGATATCACTACAACGCTCTGACTTGCGAAGGATGTAAAGGTTGGTTCGGATAGACATACACATGACACTCGCTGTGAGACCATCCTCCATCTGTGGATCTGCCAGTGCGACACTCACAAAAAAAAACAAAAAAACGACGCCGCTTTCTGGCACTAGAAGGTTTTTTCCGTGAAAATGTTGATACCCTGTTTTTCCTTATCCTGCTACTGAATTACTACTAAATTCTCTTTTATTTCAAAGACATTTGGAGAATGTAGTTACAGGTTGTCGCAGAGTTCCCTTGAATTATTCAAAGCGGTTGAGCTACGTATCTGTATGAACCTAGCCTTATTCTCGTTGCGTTCTCAATCTTTTAAACGTCGCTGATGTCCTGCCATTCTTCTCAAAATAAACATCTCTCCAATTCGCAGTTTCTTTTGCCGCGTCATAAATTCAGACCTTTCTGACAAAAGTCACACTGGAGTAATGCAGAAATTCCAATTTCTAGATTATACCGTAGTCAACAACAATGAGTCATAATCAGCGCAGCAGTATTCGCACTGTATGACCAATCATCGATTTCGCGAAGATCTGTCCATTTTAGAAGTAACACTTTTTCGTTAGTGATATGTTTTGCTCAGTCAAGTTATCCAGAAGCAAAATGAAATTATTCAAAGACGTTTTTTTAATAAGCGGAAACAATTACATAGTAGATCTCAGTGCAAAACGTACAAAAATAATCAGCTTTTATTTTGCATTTTTGTGTACCAAGCGATAGCTGAGGTATTGTTGATAAAGAAAGTAGTGTAGTGAGATTTCCTAGCGCTAAAAGTTTTTTGTTCTGTTATTTATAGGCTGAGCCACTCACAATAATAACTCACTTCGTACTCGAAACTATCGCTTCATTGTTGTATATATATATATATATATATATATATGAACAAATTTTTGAACCAAAATTGGCTAAAGCCATCCATTTCGCATCATCAGATCAAGGTGCTGAAAAAAGTTTCTTGTGTCTAGATCGTGAAGTATCTTCAATTTTAATTCAAGCGCACCCGACAATTAATTTGCTGCTGTCTCTAGTTTTCATCTCTCCATAACTGCGCAATTTGTATCCATGTCATATTTAATCACTTTGTTTCAACGGTTCTTTATATGGACTGCTCCAAACTTCAAAATTTGCTTCGAGGATTTTCTCACTTTCTTTCGCTGTGCGCCGCTGTGCGTTCAAGTGCAGAGTATGTGAAGCCTGTAAATAATATAATACGATGGCTACCCCTTTTGTGAAGAAATTGAGATCATCCGTTGATTAATGCGCGGATTAGAACTTGAGTGAAACATTGTCTGCTGGAGTTTATTATAGAGCGTGCTTAGAAGATATTTCGCATTCTACATACTGTCGTACATTCAAGGCATTCATGAGCATATGCAACTCCTCTCACTATTTCTGTGAAGAATTTTATTTCGAAAACTCAAAAATATGTTTCTTTTCAAACAAATGTGTTTTCAGAATCCATGTTCGACTATCCATAAATCTTGGCATAGTCTGAATCTTCTGACTGCTGCTAGCACTAGCTTAATCTTGCGTTTTGGTTGATACTGTTGCTTGTCTAGAGGGTTGGGCTCTTTTCTGTAGTCGATAAGGTATTCGGATAGTTCACTTATGTGTTTTCGACTTTTCAGACTCTGAAGAAGGCGAGGTTGCCGAAACGTCAGTCTGTTTATCGTGGAATAAATATCTGTACCAATCTTGGACGCTGCTAAACAAATCAGTCAGAAAATGTGTTTTCAAGTTTTGTGATGCCAAATAGCTGCCAACTTGATCAGTTACTATCTCATGTAATATCAAGCTTGTCTTCTCACACTTAAATAATGCTGATTTCATTCGAGCCTGGATTCTAAAGCCTTTTGTAATTTTCTTGGCAGAAAGCTCGAAGGCAGAGAGGTTTATACAAAGTGGAATAGCTGAAATTGCTCCAGCAGTTTTTGTGGTGGAGCAATTTCAGCAATTTCAGCAATTTCAGCGTGATTTTTGGTGACTGACTTTGTATCGAATCTCATTTAAGTCGTGCGAAAAACTTTAACTAAACAAAACTACTTTTTGGTGAGCTATACCACGTAGTAGAATCTCATTACAAAGTGAAATAGACATTCTACAATCTCAATAGATTGTCAGTTTCGAATTCTTTTTCCAGCTGTATATCCTGCCCTAGAGTATGCCTCATGATAATTGGGGGGGGGGGGGGAGGGGACAAAAACAACGTTGAAATTTGGTCTTTTTTTGCGCTAGCAAAGACTCCTGCAATTAATTATGTTTACGGAGTTCTCGATAAGGCAAGCATATCTTCACAAGATGTATTGCAGGATTTTTTCGACGTTCAATAACGCGACGAGCGGTCTACTACTGCAAATTTGGACAAACATGTGACATCGACATGTACATGAGGAGAAAATGCCAACATTGCAGACTTGAAAAATGCATGAGAATAGGAATGAGAGCTGAACGTAGGGAACAAAGAATAATGCTATGCTACCTATTCCTCATTTTGCAGTGGTTATCCCCGAAGAGCAATGCCGTATGAAGAGAGAGGCGAAATTACGGCAACGTTCGAACACGCGAGAAGGAACGGAACTCCCATCACCATCATCTACTGATCTCCCACAACTTGGCTCTGATTTGACTGTAGAGCACGAGCTCTCACCTGAAACCAGCGAACTCATCTCGAGGATCACATCTACATCGCAGCAAGCGGCACTGGTCAGAGATGAGGCCATGGCATCACTTTCGGTACCTTAGTACTCGCGTCTTCTGTACATGAGAATGAAAAGTTTTTCACAGACCTCTGCCTCCTCGTCAGCTTTTCAACAATTGGCCGAGTTGACAATCCTGGAGGCGCAACACGTGCACGAAGTGATACGGCAGTTGCCGGGATTCTCTCGTCTTTGCGAGGAAGACCGGAGAACAGTGCAGAAGGTAAAGAAAATTATTACATGATTTGGCAGTGGCTTGGCATGTTTGTGGCGCATGGTTAGTTTATAGTATTTTAGTTAACGCGTTCAATTAACATTGTTTACATCTAGTCCGATAAGGCGGTCATTGTATAAAAAAACAAACTTTTTTATTGCTCGAATTTTGCCAAAATGCGAACACCCATTTTTCTCCTACAATGTTTCCCATATCTACGATTTTTCTAATTCCTCACAGCTAGTTTGAATAGCTTTCTCTAGCACACTCCGTGTACAGTAAGGTTCTGAGTTTTCGAGCTCAAATTAGGCTATCGGAGCTAACACATCAAGGTCAATCTACTTACCTCCAATATGCCCTGCCACTGCATCTTATGAGTGGATTCAGCAAGATTCTTCGCTAGTAGGTGGATAGAAAAATTACTGCCTTTACTCAAGCTCTCCACCCGTGACAACCTTCAGAACAGTAGTACACACAATGTATAATAAGGGTTTAACTTGTGAGAGATGTTCGCGCAAGTCTAAGCTACTTGTGGATGACGTTATGACTTTTACCACGCTCATGAAGTTTTGTAACTCATATACCTCTCTTTAGGCTTCAAAGACTGAAATCCTGATATTGCGAACAGCAAGAAGATACGACGTTTCCGAGCGCTGCTTATATCTTGGGCATGACCGCTATACATTCCGGTGAGCCCTTTGCTACTTTTATGATAGCGTTTGATTCCATCAATCTCTGTACCTAGCTTACGCTACATCTTGCGAGTGGTTTGCATTTTGATAGAAAAGTGGAGTTAAAGGCAGCGTCCAGGCAGATCTGAACCTATGGGGATTTTACGTGGAAAATATTTTTGGGGCCCTAACTAAGGCACTGCCCAAGCGCCAGGGCAAGTAATGGTCTAACGGCTGAGATATTCCCTTCCAAACTAGACCCCGCGATCGTATTCGCATGTTCATGGCAGTTTCGCGGCAGGGTCCACGCTTTGCGCCATGAATCCATGCGAAATACGATCGCGGGGTCCAGTTTCGAGGGAAATATCTCAGCCGTTAGAGCACTACCTGAGCTGCCGGTTGGGCAGTGGCTTAGTTAGGGCCCCAAAATTACTATCCACGTGAGATCCCCATGTGTCTAGACTTGCCTGGACGCTGCCTTTAAATGACAGTTCTCCAAGAAAATGACCGACGATATTCTCATTTTCTTGTGCAAGAGAGATGGCATTCAACACTTTAACTAACGGTGACATAGGAAGAACGGGGGAGGAGGGCGGGAAGGGAGGGGGGGGGGGGGAGAGAGAGGAAAAAATGGATTTCAGAAAGTTTGGAATGTTATAGGAATTTTTTGGACACTTAAATTCCCGAAATTTCTTTCACAAAGATATTACTAAAAATTCACATTTCCGGAAACTAAAAATAATAAAGATCCTTGTATAGATTACCTTAGAATCTGTTTAATATCAAGATGTCCCAAAAATAAACTCTTTTTTTTTGGATAATTCAGACTGTTTCTGTTTTCCTAGTAAATTTAGGGTATCATTCGATAGATCAGATCAAGCTCTACAAAATGGTTGCCAAAAGTCCGTTTAAGTCGCCTTCCATGTAAAGTTTGAAGCCAAAATCGAAATTTTGTCACCGAAAATTGGGTTTTCGCGAATAAAAACCCCACGGATCTCCAACTTGGTCATTATACAGAAGGTACATATTAGTAGCCAAATATGCCTTTACTGGATTTTTTCCACATATAGAAAGCGAGAAAAATAAGATAGTCTTACTAAGTATAAAACTAAAATTTCACCCTGCATGTGCTCTTATTATAGAAAAATACCAAGTTTTACAAAAAAAAAAGCCGAAAAAAGGCATTTTGGGATCACTTTTGTTTTTCAATTTTGAGCTTCTGAAAAAATTCACCAAATACATTTTTGGATACTACTATGTGTCTACTAAATAAAGACCAAGTTGGAAGTCCGTAGGAATTTTCTGGAAGGAGACTTTTTAGAGTAGCTGAAAAATTTTGATTTTTGGCTCCAAATTTTACCTGGGTTACGAATTAGCTGGATCTTTGTAGTCTTTTTGTAGAGCTTGCTCCAGCACTCCACCAAATGGTATCCTAAATCTGTCAAAAATATAAAACAAAAACAGCTCAAGTTATTTAAAAAGAGGGGTTTACTTTTGGGACAATATAATAATTTTTCATTTTGTGAGGAGGAGAGGGGAAGAAAAGAGATTCAGCTCTTTGATAAAGCTTAGATAGTACTTTGCATTTTGACATTCATTGCGTTTCACAGCTAACATTCGCTCCACAACTGCTGTATAGGAACTCTCAAGGAAGATTGCAAAACTATCAGGTCGTTTCATAAGTTCGTAGACTTTTTTAATAAATCAACGAAATGACGAAATTCTAGCAAATTCAATCAGTGATGTATGCTTCGTTATTGCGCACTGCCTTCTGCCACCATGCCCAGTTTTCAGATCCGCTTTTCAAAACTCAGCGGGTTCTGCCCCAAAAAAGTAGCCAACCAGCGCCTGAGATCGTGTGCAACAAAACCTTGTGATAGGATAGAATAGATGATGATATGCTAGAGCGAGATCCCAGGAGTACACCGAATACCATTGTGCCTCCCGGTCAATTCTTGCAGAGCAGCTATGACGACGATTGCCTTGAAGGCAGTGTCCCGGCAGATTTTGCATTCCCATCTTTTTGCATGTTTTGGGCCTTTTCGACCCGTAGACTCCGAATTTGAGCTTTAAAACGGTGAAAAGACCTTTTCAGGGGCTTTTACCCAATTGCAAAAGGCAGCTCGGAGAGAAGTTTAATGGAAAGTTGGGAGTCCCCGGCACAAAGATCCTGGCGCCTGTATTTGCTTCGGATAGCATGCACAACGCGGAAGAGCGGTCGTGGGGTCCCGCGCCGAAAAGCAAGCGAAGCCGTAAGAGCGCGCGCTGGTTCAAGGGCTATTTTCTAGGCCCAGGGGAACATCAACCAGCCGGACTGCGCCTGGAGGTCAGTGGGATAACCGGAAACCCCACTATCGCAATATCCCCAAGGCATGAATCTGCGGGACACTGCCTTTGAGGGGCCAAGTTTTGTCGCGCAGAAAAGCTTATGTTTATAAGGCCTTCTCAGCAGTAGGGATCGCTTAGAAGGCATCGGATTGCATGCGGTAGGGCGACCGCCTTGTTCTTGCCTAGCAAATTTTAATTTAGGACCTCCTGCCCATCCTGCAGAATGTCGTATTTCCGGGCACCCTGCAAACTCTTTGTTTTTGAAAGCAATCTAATCCCTTTCCTACCTTTATAGTGAGGAGCAAATGCCATCTTTCATAATTGGTGAAAAAATCTGCGCAAAACGCCTTTTTTTCAAAGAAAAAATAGGCAAACACCAAAAAGGCTTCATTATGCCTTTTTAAGAAATCCCTCTTTGGAAACCTAAGGAACCAAAGCAGATCAGCTGTCCACTGAGATCACCTCATTTTGAAGAGCGTGTTCAGCTCTTCTCAGTGATACGCATCTTGCCGAAAATCAACCGTTCTTCAAAGAATTGACAACGTGAATGAAAACTTTACTAAGTTATGAAGCGACTAAGGCCTAAAGGGCCGGGCATACTTCACGCGATTTCAGTCGCGACGCGATTCGGCAATTCGCCAGAAGTGTTCGGATCCAACATTAGCAAACTGCACATGCATAATGTGTATAACTTACGTAAACTGATGAAATGCCCTATCTTCTGTACATTTATAAGGTGCTCACAATGAGTTATGGACACCTGGAATATTGCCAAATCGCGGCGCGATTGCAATCGCTTGAAGTATGCCCGGCCCTTAAGGCATACCTACCTCACGCGACTTGGCCAAATCGCCACTTTCAAGCGACTTGGCGATTTGCCAGATTTCTACCAATCTATCGTGCGCGCTTCTCGAACGCATATTTGGGTAGCTTGTGTAAGCTGTTGCTAACTCATCAAGTTCTGACCAGAGGCAGCGCATTAACAACGAATAACTAAGAGTCGCTGTTATGCCAAATCGCGTAGCGACCGGAATCGCGCGAGGTATCCTTAGGCCTAATACAACAGTACTGAACGCTTGCTCGCATTGTCGCAAGCCTAAATTTTCATCAAGTGTAAGTTTTCAGAGCAAATTTCACTTCCATTGTGCACATATTTTTGCGACAGAGGTTTGGAAAGACCACAACTAGTTCTTGTCCTCTCAATTACCCTTGAACTCTAATTTAGCAAATGTTATCTTTCCCACATTCTGTAAAACAAGGAACGTTTTCGAGTATCGGTCCCCGTTACTTTTCATTTTCATAAAGTGATTGCCATTGGTTTAAGCATTTAGCATTGATGTATACCTTTCTTCCAGGTACGACTTGCAAAGATATCGGGAAGCTGGGATGGCTCCTTTTGCAGACTTTGTATTCGATCTGGCACAGAGACTAGCTGAATTAGGACCAGATCAGGCTGAGATGTTGCTTATGGAAGCGTTGATTGCCTTCTCGGGTAGAGATTTTCTTTTGGGAAAAATATGTTATCTCCCATCATTTTTTACGGTCGTATTTGCAGACAGACCCGGTCTGACAGACGCTCGCAGGTTGCAAGAAACTCAGGAAGTTTATATGGATGCCTTGCAGCAGTGCACAGATGTGAGAAAACCAAAAGACTCCACACGTTACCATCGTCTTCTTGCACTTCTTGCAGACCTGCGACGATACTGCATAGAGCATGTAAGAAAAAGTGATGTATGTAGTTTCAATAGGTTGGGAACTAAGCTTTGCATCTCATCCTATAACTTTCCTCTCTCTCAACATTGCGCACTCAAATTTCGCCAATGTGTAGACTATGTCGTAAGCTACAAGACCAGCTGCTGTTCTGCCAAAGTCTGACGTCACAGTGACGGCACGGTAGATATCTTGCATAAGGGAAAAATGTTGATATTTGACATATATAAATGAAACTTGGCGTAAGGGGATTACCCGACATGCTGATTACGGAAACGATACTGAAGGGCGCAAGGGCTTTTTTGTACGATTACTGTAGGTTTACAAGATAGGGTCTTACTCGAAACAAGGAAAGAAGCGTTACTTTAACAAGTGAATATGATATTCGCGTTTGGCAAGTCAAATAACCTTAATATATGAAGCCTTTGCGAATTATGGGGTAGAGGGCATTAGGTCGCCATTAAGCTCCACCCATACGGACAGATAGCATGAGTGGTAATGATAAAGATATGCGTTTTGTTGCACATGTCCGTGTGCAATCGCCCCTTTCGGCGACCTAGTGTCCTCTACCTCAAATTTTGAAATTCTGACTCCTTAGTTATTGACGGCCCCCAGCAGCCTTGCGCACAGCAGACTCGTTCAACTTTATGATTGCGCAAATTTCGACATGCTATTGAAGTTTTAGTTTTTCTTGTTGATCCGAATGAGCCAGTCTCTAGCAGACATTTAAACACGATTCCAGATTTTGCTCATGGTCTAGGCTGCTAACGGCTCAATTTTGGCTTATAACCCCAAAAATTCTCAAAAATCACTAGTTTTCGAAAAAATAGTCGGAGCTTTTCTAATTTGTGTTCGAAATTCAAAGTTTTGAGCAGTTGTAGCACACACTGCGCTCTATATATTGCCAAAGTTTGAGTGGGCCATACCTAAAGAATGTAAAGTTATGAAAAAGTTGCAAACTTTGGTTTCAACAATATTTTCAACCTATCTTCGACAAGCAAAAAGCGTATTTTAGGTGGATGCGTCTACCTCAAACCATGACTACGACAGCGTCATGGATGTGAAGCCAGAGAAGGCAATGTTGGAGCAGATCATGCAAAATAAAGGCCCAAATTTTACCATGTACCATATCCCTCGCTGACGCAGGAAGTATAAGCTTGCCTCTTTCTATGTAGATATCTCCCAGGGTTCTCAAGTTTCGGTTGTTGATTTATTACTGGTTGGAAAATTAAAGTGCAGTCGTTATGATGTAATCGCATTGAACAAATTATGTCAGACTGGTAATAAATTGTTCTCTTCAGCTTCTCCTATAGTCAAAGGTAAATCCTCGCTTTTTTATCATAGTATCCATGCTTTTGGCACGATTCTGGGCTCAGTTAGTGAGCACACCTGCTATGGGACCTTGATGAAAGGAGTAAAGCATGTTAGATTACTCAAAGGCATAATTAAGTTGTTGTCTATTGGAAAGTTTCCCCTTGGTACTCAATATTTTTACGAAGTCCGCTCAGTACATATCGACGAATACAAAAAATGGTGCTTTGAGATGAATGCAAGATGCGAAGATGTCAAGCTTGTTCGCAGCGTTGAGAAGTAAAGGCTGCTGCATGACGTAGGCGCAGAGGTAGTATTAACTGAGCGGACGCGAACGCGGCGCGCATCACCGTTGTGAATCCTGCGCCTCGTGCGCTCTGCGGCTAACCAAACCGCGATCGCGCTCAAAGGTATTGCGTCTTCGTCATGCAGCAGCCTTTATGTATGAGCGAAATAGTGTAAGCGGAACATTCTTTTCGGCTCATTTTTGCAGATATGTTTACGCATCCGTATATTTACGATGTAATGTGTTGTCAAGAAAATATTGGCTTATTCGCTTGCAGTGACATCACGAGGAAGACCCCGGAAATACATGGGGCGCCACTCCATAGAGCAGCAAGTTCCAAACTGGCGTGCTTTCGTTTTGAGCCAAATTTAAAAAACTCTAAACATCTAATGCTGAATAAACACCCAAGATCAAAAAAATTGAGTCTCTGTTGAGAAGCTTCTTACGGACTTTCCACTCGCATGTGCGTTGTCGACATCAGACACTTTTGTGCACGAATGCGTATTTTTTCATTAGGATTTGAAAAACAAAAGTTCTTGTGTTTTCCTCAAAGCATTGCGGGTCGTTCTTTTATCAGTCCTATATTACAAGCAAGCAAAATTTCAAGTATTGAATCTAGCTTCCTTTCTCTTCTAATTCGGTGTAAGAGCAGACTACATCTTATATTCAGTAGGTTCGAAAGTTTTGTCAGTATTTTAGAGTCGCCCAAAAATCCCGTGCACTGAAGATAAACAAACACTTCGCGTATCTGAGGCAAAATTTCTTCTTCTTTGCAGCTGCATGTTGATGTATCTGAACGAGTGCAGAGATAATCGCTTGAGCCCTGCGATACCATGTAATTTCGTCAACTTTGAAAATTTCATTTGTGATTTCAAAAATGCTTTGGTCTAGCTGAGGGCAAACCTTCTGCAAGCTAATGCAGTTTTTGTGAATCTTTGTTTTGTACCAGGTTTTAAATTCGGATTAATCAATCTTTCTACTTATGGTTGTTGTCACTAACCCAACATGCAAGCTTACTCAGTGAAAGAATTCGGAACGTACTATAAATCAAAATGCTCGCTCAGACACTGACCTCAAAGCGTCTTCGTTACCTACGAAGCTTCTATGAAAAGATAGCGTCGTCAAAGAAAACTCGAAAGTAGGAAGCAAACTGCCATACTCTGTGTGATAATCCAACGTTATAACCATTTCCATTCGCACCTATCCATTTTTACTCTTGTGCAAATGAGCCAGCTACTACAAATTACTTAACCCCCTCCCCCCCCTTCAACCTTTCTAACAATGAGTCAATGAATTGCGATTAAATAAATACCACATCTTTCATAAGCTTGCTTCCCTCCTTTACTAGACTATCTTTGATTATGCCAGTTGTCCACGGATTTTCCTCTCAGAGAGGTCCAACCGGTTAGTCGCGAGACCACGTGGCGTCCCGAGGTGGCGCATAGGGGGCTAATTGCAAACCAAATCAACCCTGCGCCTGCTCCGATGGCAGAGCCGGGGGATGGACTCCCTGCCTCCATCAAAATCTTGCATACGTATTTCTCGGGTAGGTGTGGGAAAGGCGGGCTCGGAGTCGCCTCTAACAAATAAGCTCCAACCGTCCCTCGAGGGAGGCTTGAGCCCAACAAGCTGCTCCTGCGAGGAATTTAATCGTTAAACACAGTGATAAATTGGAAAGCTCCCTTAATCTTGGAAGAGCCACTGGTGAGGCAGCGCCAGTGGGGAGAAGATTTGGAGGGCAATCTAGCCTGCCGAAAACGAAACGGACAATGATGACGATCTGTACTTACAATGTACGGACGCTCGCATCGGGTGCATCCATCGAAGATCTTATGATGCAGGCCAAGAAGATCAAGTACGACGTCATCGGACTAACAAAGACAGGAAGACACCACCCGATAAATGCTACTTTTGAGACTGGAGAAGAACTGTTCCTAGGGACATGCAACAACAGAGGAATAGGCAGTGTTGGAGCGGTAGTGTAGCCGTAGTGTAGCGGTTAACACCCTGGACTTTGAACTCAGTAACGCGAGTTCGAATCTCGGCGGAACCTCTATGTAATATGATAATGTTTGGCTCCTGTTAGAGATTACTTGAGAGTGACTTTGAATCTGTAACGACAGTGTTGGGCCTTTTGTACGGGCATTCTTCCCTACTTATAGTAATAGCTTTCTTAAACTAAAGGTTTATTAACAAGAAAGGATATTATAGGGCAGCACAAAGGGTGCAGAATGGAGTACAACAAGACATAGCTAGGATGTGAAATGGAGTTCATACTATATCGATAGAAACACAAGAATATAGACAAACTTGGAAATATAGAGAACATATTTAGAAGGAAGGAGGGTAACGAAGAAGAGGGATACACATAAAATAAATGTGAAAATGTGTGGTTGATTATCTGTCGCTGTCACGGCCAGCTGACGCCGGCTAGCTTGTTGACTCTCTCTCCTCTTGAAGGGAAGGGGGGACTTGGTCGTTCATATAGTTAGCGGGGTCGGGGCAGGGGTGCAGGGACCAATAGCGCATTACCGTAGCTAGCGCTTTCCCTACACTGGGAGTGTCCGACTCGCGCAAGTGTGAGAAGGAATACGAAGCTCCATCTTACATCAAATCGAAGACCAGGGATGCTGCCGCATTCGCCAAACAGAAAAAAATCAGATGGGCCGGACACGTGAGCGCTCTGACGACAATCGGTGAACCAGAGCTGTAACGGATTGGATACTGCTGAACGTCGAACGCGAAGCAGGAAGAACACCGACTCGATGGTCAACATTTTCACGGAATCCTTCAAAGCAGTCCTTCAGAGCATTCCTCGTGTACCTAGTGCGATGAGAAGACATCGGTCAACGATCGCTCGCGACAGGGGCGAATGAAGGCCTCACTGGATCCCGCTCGTGTCAAGTCAACCGGGATACAGGTGATACAGGTGATACAGATGGTGTCAGTTGTAAGTAGTTCCGGTTATTATTTCGCTCAACTGAGAATGTGGTTTGAATTTGTCTTCCGACAAGGCAAGCGAAAACAAGCGTTCAGCCCTGCAAGCTATTAGCTCTATTCAGTGAAAACTCCGCTAATAGAATCCAGCCGTTCTGTAGAGATTGTAATTCCTCCTCGGTCTCCATCAAAGTCAATTATTTTCAAAAGTGACCCTTCATATACAAAGCGTTTCATAACTATACGACTCCCATCGAAAAAATTTATCATTTCCGGATTTACAGAAGAGATCGGGTACTCCAGTCTGTGGCTGTGTGATCTACATGGAGTTTTCATGACCGATTGGGCCATTGGGCCTTTTTACATTTGATCAAGTTTATTGGACATGTTTCTTACAAATTTGAGCGTCCGGTCTAATGCTGTCACATGCGTCCATAACAAACTGCTTCCAATGCGTCGTACTGTTTGTATTTGCTCAGCGACGCTGCGCCAGTAATCTCCAGAGAATTACTGAAGCATTTAAGACAAGACAGTATGATCACCTTTACAAAAGCTGCTCGCGATGCTGGGGGAGAACGAGGTAAGTTACCCGCGTGCATGTTTATACGTTGTGCTGCTTCGAAACGTAGTGCTGTTACAGGCGCTTTGTTAAGAAGATGACAGAAGGAATGAGCCAATGATTTATTGGTGTAATCCAATCAAAAAAATTAAGTTTGAACGGCTGTGACGGCTAGAAGATCGACTAGCCAGATGTGAGCAAAGTGCACATCATTTTAGCAACTGAAACTTCAGCGGAGATTCCTTTATAATCTGGGAGCATTTTGCGTAGTTCAAAAGTCTAACTTTCAATGAGAAAACCTCTCGCAGATTGCTAAGAAGTACTGGAAAGCCAACGACTTTTCACCTTCCATAAGGCCGGTGGCAGCACTACGTTTCCAAGCAGCAAAACGCATTAAACATGCACTCGGATCACTTACCGCCGTTCTCCACCAGCATCGCGAGCAGCTTCTGTAAAAGTCACCAAACTTTTATCTTAAATCCTTTAAAGAATCTCTGGAGATTATTGGCACAGCGCTTCTGAGCAGATCAAACAGTGTGAGACACTGGAAAAGTTGGAGCAATTCGTTATGGGGGCATGTGACAACATTGGACAGGAGATATGCTTGAATTTGTAAGAAGCATGTCCAATAGACCTGAGGAAGTGGTAAAAAGGTCCAGTGGCCCGATCAGTCATAAAAATCCTGATTACGCTTTCTTTTTCTTGATTATAGTACCTTGCTCAAAGGTGTCGTATAGTTATGAAACAGTGAAATAATATACATGTCCCTACATGTCTAATAGCAAGAGAGTAAAAATAGTGATTGAGATGTCATCTTATTCGAAATCATAGGTAGATCAAGCAGGCACTGACTGAAGTACTCGATTCCTTCTGTAAATCCGAAAATCCCAAATTTCGAGGGATGTTGTATATTTATGAAACGCACTACATTAATATTATAGTGAGGGGAATTGTGCAGAAATCGGTTGAAGATGAAGGAAGAAACAGTGTTGTTCAATCCGATCACCACTGTCATTAACATGTTTCAGACCGCGAAATCATGCGCGGCGAGAAGAGTGTTACTTTCAGCCTACAAACGAGCCTTATTTTGTAGACGGTGGACTGCGTCTGTAATCAGAATGTCAGATATGCTCCATACTCAAAATTCCGAGTGGATTCGAAGTGTTTGAACTATTTCGCTTGAGAGGGACTTTCGTGTTTTTTGAAAGATAGAAACAAGACTCAAATTTTAATAGTATTCAAAAGTATCTACGTTGTATACGGTATACATCAGTATTGAAATTACGGTTTTTCTCTTTGAACGAAGCAAAGAAAAGTTGCGACGTCGCACGCGTTGTTCGCGTTGCCGCACCTAGTTGCAACTGTTGTTCGATTTGTCCTCATATCTCCTAAACAAATATCACCGGCACAGCTCTACAGAGTATTTGAAAAGTAGGAGCTTAAGCCTTTGACTTGATAACCTTGGACTAAAATCCTCCTGTAAACGTCAAAAAAATCCTTCAAAGCAGCGTGCTGCATTATGTGCAGCACCGGTCCGAAACGAGTTAACGTTCTTCTTCTCGGGAACGATTGCGATGGGATTGCGAGTTTTCGCTAGTGTTTTTGGTGTTTTGTAAGCGTACGCGCATAGGAATGCAAACGAAAGCTATATTATGAGAACAAGACATAAGGGATAAAGGATAAGAATGTTACGTGAATAAGAAGACTTGTTACAGATATGAGGATGACAAGCAGTCTGCAGTATGAACATAAGCCAACACCGAGATCACAAAGGGGGAGGGGAAATCCAGTGCCGAGACTCTGCTGTCCTACGAACTGCCTATCTCTCTGTACTGCCAGCATGTGTCTGTTTAATAAACTTCATATTTTCTGGGCTTCAAATATCATGTAAGCCCCACCAGGCTACGTTTATAGTTTTTGCTTTTTAGGTAAGTCGTTGCCGATAAAGGAGAAAAAGTTAAGTCAGAAAGGTTTCTGTTTTTTGAAAAGTTATAACATCGCTTATTCTGAGGAATAAACGTGGAAGCTACGTCATGTCAGTTCATGTGCATTTTTTTGTCACTTCATGTCTCTTTCTTATTTTGAAGCATTTCTTTGAACGATAGTGGGCTTTAAAGTTTGTTATTGTTCTTATTACACGAGCTACTTAAGTGAATGCTATCTCTATCTGGGTGAAAGCAGAAATCGCTGCAGCGCAAGCCTACTAACGTTCGGAGAAGTGCTTTGCAAGAAGAAAGAGGCAAGAAGTGACGAAATAAAGGACGCGACAAAAAATACACATGAAACTGCTTCCACGTAAATATCCTGAAATAAACGATAATTAATGATTTAGAAAACAGATTCTATTCTCAACCTACATGTTTCGTTACATGTTTCTCCTTTATCAGCAACCAATTACCTAAAAAGCAAAGAATGAACAACGAAAGCGTTACAAACATTGCTCGGAGACTTGCAATGGCATTTGTTGATGCACAAACGTTGTCGCATCTGTAGAGACATATTAAGCAGGAAATCTACTTGGCTGTGAACAAGTAGCGTTCTCTAACCCTTTGCCTTTTTTTCCTATTTAAATAACTCGCTTTTTTGAGTCCTGTTTTTTTTGAATTTCCGTGATTTTTAGAGTCGAGTCTTTTGATGCCACTTTTTTTTCTTGGCCCCGAATGAAAAAGCTCAATCAGACTCTGACTTTATAAGTTGGAGATAATTCTGTTAATGGTCTATTTCGCACTTATTGTGCCCTGTTGTAATAAATAGGGACAGTTACAAGCGGCAAATTTCACCAATGCAAAGCAAAACCGTAAGATTTTATGATCACTAGCAAACAGAGTAACGAAAAGCAAGGAGCGGTCCATATACTCACTGTTTCGAATTGTTCGGACGCTTTTGCTTCAGATCAGTCGGATACAAAAAATTTCTGTTGATATAACATAGTGCATATTAACAAAACTATGCAGTTTTCATAGAACAAAATAATTTGTAAAAATTCATTTGGAGTATTTGTTATACTGTGGAGATGTTAGTTTCTTGTATGAATTAACTATCTTCTTCATTGACGGTGACATCATTTATCGTGTAAACCACACGAATGTTGTCCGTCAGAACACAAAGACATACTTCTACTGAAAACGTAATATGCAGTTCAAATTCCAGCTCATGTAATGATATTTGAAAGCCTTATTACCCGTACGATTGAGCCCTTTATAGTTTGCTACGTATATACATATACATACATATATACATATGAAAAACTCACCCAAAACAGCAGGAATGACATAATGGTAATAGTTGAAAACTGCAATGGAATTCATTCATTGTTTGATGTCAGTGTGTCTTCGTATAGTTATGACATAAACTTACATAATGAAATTACTCCGCTATCAGATCTTTTGCTAGTTAACTTTACGACAGCTGTCATTACTAATTGCAATTATTATTCTAATTGTTCGCAAGAACAGCAATCAAGCAGAACCAAAGTTAGCAAAATGAGGGCTGAACAATAGCCCTTCCCCCTCCCCCCATCCCCACCCTCCCCCTCCTTCGCCACTAATCATGTTCAAGTCTCACCGCGAAAACATGTTTTACAAGTGACAGAATGACAACTTTCGAAATAAAATCCGAGAGGTGTATAGCCGTTCCGCAGTCTGCAGCCGTCCGATGCAGTGCTTACCCTTTGACACTTTCCAAATAATAAGCATAATCGTTAGGCATAATCATTAGGCATGGTACACCTGTGTTCTTCCAAAATTTGACAAATTCTTGTTAAGTAGGCAATGAAAAGGGCTTGAAACGAAGGTGTCCATTTGCGTTTCAGTCATGTTTTCAAGGATATTAGAGGTTTACGGATGAAATCCTATAAGCCAATAGACGAACGCTGTCTTCATAGCAATTCAATATTATGTTTGCACAGTGGTTGGCAGCGACGTTTAATTGCATGATCGCAGAGAAATCCATGATAAAAAAATCACATGTGAAGAGCTTGCTGTATTCCTTGAAATATGAGGCAAAACAGAGAAAGTACGAAAATCTATTTGTACTAGACTCAAATCTCTTCTCAAGAAAAAGCTAGTATTTTGATTTTTTTGATGAGGTAATCCTCTTGCGGCAGTTCACCTTATACTCTTACGCTTCAAGTTTTAGTTTACGACGAACAAGCAATTTTAAGAAAAGGGTAGAAGACGCCTCAATTTTTTCGTACGCGGTAGATTACTTTCCTGCTTCGACTGCAACGATGCTAACAGCCACATACTACAGAACAGAATTAGGTATATGCTTTTAACGGCGGATGCGAAATTCTTTGAAAGAAGTGAACAGAGGGTTCTTTTCACCCAAGAATGGGTCGCGAAATTTTTGAAACTCACTTACATGAATTATGAAAATATGCAAATGACTTGTTCATACTTGTAAACAATTAGAAGAATTTTTAAAATTTTAATCAAAAACTCGATTCAGCCTTATAAAAAAAATTTATTTGGGGAGCGGCTGATTTAAAATTTAAAAAAGGGGGTTTTTAGTTATGAGTCCGCGAAAATTTTGAAGGCCCATAACCCATTGAAAAACTTTCGTACCATAAATTTTTTCGGAGTGCGTGGCTGACGCGTCTTCATCAGAAGAAATTCCCCCCCCCCCGAACGGAAATTCTGGCTACGCCACTGTTGCTTTGAGATCCCAGAAATGAAAATGAAAAAAAAACGATTAGATAGCTTTGTTTCAAAATTGTTTAGATCTAACGAAATCAATGAATGTTTAGATCGAAATCATTGCAAAATCAGACAGAACTTAAAGAGCAGGGGCTTTTTCACTTTTGAAATATGAATAACTGTAACTAATAACTAATGATATTGCACACCCGGGCTGTGAGCCAGTCGAGTGATCCAGTAGGATCTTGTGCCTTCCCAACTTCCATCGCGTGCATTTTCTCCCATCCCCAACTTCGCACCTCCATTCCCCCCCCTCTGCCTCCGTCTCTCTTCTCACTTACCTTCCTTCTGCAGTCTGTACTGCATCGCCAGGTACTCCGCGACAGCGACGAAAAGTCAAGCAGCGTACAACAAGAGACCCTTAAAGGCAGCGTTCAGATTTTCACTTTTGTGCATGTTTTGCGCCTTTTCAACATGTAAGATCCGAATTTAAGCTTTGAACGGGGTGAAAAGACCGTTTTTGGGGCGTTCGTCCAATTTCCATAATGCAGCGACTAGAGTTTCAGTGGAAAGTTGGAAGGCCCTGGCACGAATACCCTACCGCCCGTAATTTTTGCTTTGGATAGCATGCACGTTGCGGGAGCTGTCGTGGGGAGCGCCGAACAGGCAAGCAAAGCCGTCCGAGCGCACGACGGTTAGAGGGCTATTTACTCGGCGCAAGGGGAACATCAACCAGCCGGACTGGACTTGGAGGATAGCGGGGTAACCAGGAATCTTACCACAACTATACTCCCCAGGGCGAAGATCTAACGGGACACTACCTTCAAACTGCCACAAGCTAACCACAGTGAGAGGGAGGGGGGGGGGGGAGGGGGAGGGGAAGAGTTGAGAACCGCGTGTGGGCGCGACATCCATCCACACATAACGCCGTTACAAGCTTCTACTTTACCGATATTTAACTAAACATAGACACATACTTGTTTGCATTCCCTCCCAATAGAAGTTGTGATAAATGGCAAAGACGACAACAAAAATCTGAAAGCGATAAAAACGACTAATTCGAAAAGAGTAGCTAGAACAGGCGCTCACATTACAAATCATGCAGCATACCATACAAGTCTGACTTTTTCTAATGATGCCAGGGATAAAAACTCCGCACCATATAATCTGCAATTCATTAATTTGTTAGTGCCTTTCCACGACGTGCTTTTCAATAGCTATGCTGCAAAATGTATTTTCATTTCCAGAGAGGATCTGAATCTGCTACAAGAAATAGAACCGCAATAAAAAAAGCTCATGAATTCTCTATCGAAAATGATCATATACAGTCCATGCTTTGATGGAAAGTGTTAAGCATGGTAGTTTGAAAATAAACTTGCTAGCTGTGTGCAATTACATAGAGGATGCTGTTAAACTGAACAGATTTTGAAAAAAACACTGCCCTTTGCTTGAGGCCGAATTGAAAGATTGCAAAAAAAAAACAAAAACTATCTTATCTGACTGGTTCGGTTTGCGCACACAATCTCTGCTTGCACCCCCTTTCAAAAATTTTTACGAAGCGATTATTTTCAATAATCTTTTTTTGACTGTGCATAAGCCAAATTGTTCCTTGTGCCATTTAGAGATTCATTTTGTTAATAATCTGTCAACCGGACAAAAACAAAATTTTGCAAGTGATCCAAAACTTTGATTTGGAACCTCCCTTTTGTATATTATAATTGAAAGTGCTCTTCTAATAGTTTTCATTCAAAAAAAACTGAAATTTCGCAACAAGTTGGCCCGCTAGGCCCAGGGCCCGGCGGGGGTGGCGCTTTCACAAGCTGGATATCGTTTTTGGCCCGAAAAAGCAAAGGGGAAGTCGTATTTTGGGGACCGATAGACAATGCACATATCATTCTTTATTCATCATTCCTTGTTGATGCTACTGTCCTATGAAATCTTTACATTCCAGCAATGTGAAGATTCGGTGCTTCGATCGCTAGCCTGCCCACAGGCGGGAATTCAAATCGCAATTCTTGTAAGAGGAAAATAACAAAATAGGCTCGTTTTCAATGCACAAGTAACGATATGGCACCAAATTTGCTGTGTAGTTGGAGGGCCATGAGCACAAAAAAAGTGTGAAGAATTATGAGAAACTTATGTGAATTTAAAGTGTGGTAAGTGTTTTTCGAAATTAGGTGGCTCCCGCGCTACCTGGGAGCCACCTGGGGTGGCTCCCTGCTTTCCTTCACATAATTTCCCGGATTTCTTTACATAAATGTAGACTAGGTCGAGAGTATTACTATATGTTCAAATCCGCTTCCAAAACCACCAAGGCACCGCTTCGATACAGCCCCAAATAGGGTTCACAGAGTTATGATCGGCCTCGGAAAGCGCGCTCCATTCGCAATCGGTTATTGTAAATTGTAAAGTTTCGCAGCTGACTAATAAATGAGTAGTATCTTAGATATGTAAACGTCAAGTTTGTGCAAATCTTGACCCTATGTTTTTTTTTATAGATTCCTTTGCGGATGAACCCATTGAGCTGAAACCTTGATGACCCGGGCTGGACCAGGAAAGCCAGGTAGTACTACTATAATAAGCGCTGAGGCCGCCCATCTCATTATTTGTGTATATCTGTTTGTCAGGGACTTACGGAGGTCAAAAATAGGGTCAAAGGGGAAGTCGTAAGAAAATTTGGTTTCAAAGGGGTTATCGTTTTCAAAATTCTGAAAAGCCACCTCCTGCCGGGCCCTGGCTAGGCCCTGCAGCGCGCACACTGAGATATGCTATAACGTGTGTAGATGCATATGTAGCACATATCCGTGAGAGCCTAGCCAGTCCAAACAAAAATTTTCTTTCGGGCACAATTATTAAGAGCTCCCCTCTACTCACTTATAAATTGATCTTGTCAAAGTTTTACATATCTTGAACGGATGTACACTATTTTTAAATTATGAGATTCACATTATACCATACTTTCCTTGTTCTTTCTTTAAATGTTAGAGCGTTCCCATGGAACGCAGATTTACAAAACTTTTTCAAATGCCTTTCACAAAACCATTTTGCACGTTCTACCCTACAATAAGCCATGAATCAACCAAATCATGATGAACTTGATCGCAAAGACTATCAGTAACACAATATTTTTTCCGACTCAAAACCGCGTCACCGAGTTTGCTAGAGAAAAACCAAATAAATTTTCCCCGATCAAATACTTTATTATGGCAAGCATATGCGGCATGGTAAACCTAGCACTTACCGGGATTTGAAATCTCGGTAAGCGTCAGCTCTTAAATCTGATGCTGCAAGAAGCCTCCATGCTTTTCACTCTGAGGCGTCCTCATACTATCTTCCCTGCTGTTTAATTACTTCCTTGAAGCAGTAAATCGTTCACCAACAATAGCGAAAATCAATAGTAGCTCCGGCGAGTTGGCAGTCGTTGCTACTACACATGAATGGTATCGCTGTTTGACTAATTCATTACATAGCTAGATCATGTTGGCCACGTTTTGAGGCGGTACTTATACAACTCATTATTGTTAGGAAAATGTCTCTGTATACAATACACTCCTAAAACAACATTGACTGTTCCGCACTGAAGGTGAGATGTACTATCAAATGTTCAATTTATCATGCACTAGATCTTTGGGAACAGTGAATATTCTCTCAAATTTAGAACACATACCTTTACTCCCAAAGAAGCGTATATTGTCTCCGTCCCTTCATCTAATATTACCGGCACCACGAGCACTATAATGCTTATCATTCCAACCACCGAAACTATCACCTGAAGGTATGCATTGTGTAAAAGCGGCATGGAAAACAGAAGCTTAGCCGTTAGGTCTAGCAAAAACTGCACTGAAGAGGGTGTCAAAGCTGGACTGTACAAAAGCGTCATCGGTTTGCAAATGTCAGCAATAATTTGCGCTTTCTAAATGATATTCCGCTTCTGGCGCTCAATTCTTCGAAACTTACTGGGTAATGCTGGCCATTACGAGCGTATTGTAAACCAGTGCGTCACCTCTGCTTCGCAGAGGCTCGCACTGGCTCTACTATCTTTGTGCCTTACTTATTCTCGTAAAATCGTGGCACTGGAACTCACCGCGTTATGCCGACTACCACGAATAAAATGTAAACAATCACTCATTTAGAAAGTTTTTTCACGTGAGATCGGTGATTTCGCGTGGATGAAACTTTTCGCAGGAAGACAAACGCAAATTTGAATAGGTTTTTGGATTTGTCATGGCTTGGTAGTCGCCATAAAGGTAATGATAACCGTGAGCTACATCTCTGTGCGGAAATTTTCTCAAACGCTTAGCTAGAACCTTGGCAAATTGACCATTTACACAACCAATTCGTTTTGGCGCCGTTTTCGTTATGTAGTAAACTTTCGACCACTTTTCTGCCTAAACTCCATCGCTTGCACATTTGCTTACCAAACTCATCCACGACTCTGCAAAATGAGGTGATACGGACCGTATTTTGCAGTACAGAAGCCGGGTGGACCCGTTTGACGCGCAGTTTCTGAGGGATCCACTCAACGAATCCGCTCATGCTTTTGCATGGTGGAGTTTTGTGCTGGTAGCATGCACTGTGCAAAATTTGGGCCCAGGACGTTTGCTGGAACACGCTCCACGAATTTCGTAACAGACACACAAACACACACACAAAGTCACGTAAACATCCTTAGCCCGTTATTATAAGTCATGATAGATGCTCATTCTAAAGGTTTTTCACACAAGATAAAAAGAAACCTCCGCTTTTTCAAATCAAAGTCTAAATTTACAGATTTGGAAAGTAGTCGAAACTATGGTTACCCAAAAAGCATATCAATTTTATGTTAGAGTTGCGTCGGTTTGAACAGGTGATTTTCCAAGTACAGCGTAGTAAACTGATAAGATCTTTATGCACAACTTGGCGCGAAATCTGTTATATTTCGTTCCTATAGATTCGATCGGCACATTTTTACATATACACAAACAAGCAATCAAGACCTTACAATAACGGGCTAAGGGTTGTTTACGTGTTTTTGTGTGTCTGTGTGTCCGTCTGTTACGAAATTCGTAGAGCGTTTTCCAACCAGCGTTCTAAGCCCAAATTTTGCATAGCGCATGCTACCTTCATGAAAGTCCAATATGCAAAAGCACGAGTAGATTCGATAAGTGGATCCCTCAGAAATTGCGCGCCAAACGGATCCACCTGGCTTCTGTACCGCAAAACTGGGTCCGTATCACCAATTTTTTCAAAGTCGTGGATGTGTTTGATAAGCAAATGTGCAAGCGAATGGACTTCAGCCCGAAAACTGGTCAAAAATTTACCACATACGAAAACGGCGCCAAAAAGAATTTTTTGCGTAAATGATCAATTTGCCAAGGTTTTAGCCAAGCATCTGGAAAGATTTTCGCACAGAGATGTAGCTCACGGTGACTATTGCCTATATGGTGACTACTAAGCCATGACATATTCAAAAGCCTGTTCAAATTTGCGTTCGTTTTCTTTGCGAAAAGTTTCATCCTCGCGAAATCACCGATCTCACATGAAAAAGCTTTCTAAATGAGCAGTTGTTTACACTTTATTCTTTAGTCGGCATGGCGCGGTGAGTTTCAGTGCAACGATTTTACGAGAATGACTAAGGCACATAGATAGTAGAGCCACTGCGAGCCTCTGCGAAGCAGAGGTGACGCACTGGTAAGCAATGTCAGAAAAGAATCCAATACATATAAGATACTGGGAACGTCACGCACATGTTCATCACCAATTGAGCATTGCGCTTCCTCTACTTTGGATGCACTGCTTCCTGAGATGAGGAGACAAACGAAAGAGGATTATTAGAAAAACGAACTGGACAGTTTCTATGTATCCCTACTCTGCAGCAAAGCGGCACTGCAGCATTCAGTAACGGATTGCAGAAACTTGAGAATGGACGACGTAGGCAGTAACAAATCCCGATTTTTCGAAATTACGTAAATGTTCTAAGAATAAACCCAACAATGCACCAATCTGAGATGTTACCTCATAGCTAATACATCCACATGCTTTTGCTATGTTTTCCCTCTGAAACAGTGAGATTATAGCCATTCCTCACGACAAGCTCTAAATTACATACCGCGCTTTCATCGCCGGCGGCTCTCTTTCTATCTTCAACGTTGTGTTGACCAAAGCTAAAGCTGCGAAATTACAAGTCTTGAATTACTAGCTTTGGAATTTGATCCATCAAATAAGAAGAAATGCGAAACAACGAGAGACAACGGTACGCGAAAAGCCAGCGCCACAATTTCAAGTTTGGATATGTAGCTGACCCACTTAGGATCGTAACACATGCTGCTCATCATCATGCACTGCACACTTACTATAAAAAGTGAAGAATGCTCTATACTGATAGCTGAAATTGGAATACAATGTTATGGTATTGTCGGAGATAACTGAGTCATTTTGAGTAAAGTTTTTTGCGAGCGACTGGCATGAATGATTTCTAAGGAAAAAAAGACGTGCGTATGCTAGCCCACCACTACCCTAGTCGTCGAACCATGCCTTTTCTTGCCCTTCATTACACTTGGGGCCGCATGCACTAACTCAGATAATCGCCGGGGGCAGGCGGTCCGCAAACTCGCGCTTTTCTGCAGGCGGTCAGCAGAATTTTGGGGCGTGGCCAAACTTTCAGCGGGCGGCACTTCCTTTACGGTCGCATATTCTGCCAGCGGGCAACAATACAGCATTTTTTGCAAGCGCTCGGCAAATAATTTCTTTTAGCGAGCACTAGTCAAACTTTCAGCAAGCGCTCGGACTCTTTTTACGACATTTTCGGGCGTACGTCGAGCACAGGTAAGACTCTGTGTGGCAGAGATGTCACCGTTGGTTTAATTACTCAAGTTTGAGGTACTTTCTCTCAGCGGAAAGTACCTGGGGGCTGCGCGGTCCTCCACAAAGGACCGTGCGGCCCCCGAAAATCTTGCATAATCTCGCGGAAAGTCTGCGAGAATGCGGCCACTGCGCCGCAACTAATCTATAAGGAAACCGCGATTGTTCTCCAAGCATTCGTCTAAAATTTCGCTAAAATTATTCCAATTTCTGCAAGCGGACCGCAAGAAATCAGCAAACTATTTTTCCGGTGCGCGCCTGCTCAAAACTAGCATGGCCGCCTGCCCCCGGCGGTTATCTGAGAACATCCCCGCGGGGAGGGGATCGCAGCTCAAAAGAAAGCTTCATATTCTGAAGCTCCAGATATCTGGATTTCACGTTGTGTACCCATCCATAAGTATTCCTACTACCCTTCACTATGAGCACATTAAACAGGAGCGAGAGGCTGCACAAGCCGCATTTTTCAGCTTTTGTATGATCCCTGATGATCCCCGGCGCTTTTTTTCAAGTCATTTTTCTTTCTTTTCTTTTTTTCTTCAAAGTTAACAAAAAACTTTCAAAGTTGTGCATAATATCTAACAACACTGCTTAGCATGTTGCGGATAAGAACAAGTGATGTACCGGAGTCATGTAATTAGCGATGAACCACAGGTCGAAAATTGGAGTTCACCGAAAAATCCGAACTTTCAAAAACTCATTTGTTTTCATCAGTAATATGCATAGCACTGTTATGTTAGATAATCAGTACAAATTTGGAAGATTTTCGTCAACTTCAAAGAAAGAATGACTTTGAAGAAAAGCACCGGGGATCATCAGGGATTATGCAAAAGGTGGAAAATGCGGCTTGTGCAGCTTCTCGCTCCTGTTCAATGTGTTCATAGTGAAGGGTAGTAGGAATACTTACGGATGGATACACAATGTGAAATCCGGATGTATGGAGCTTCAGAAGATGAAGCTTTCTTTTGAGATGCGATCCCCTCTCCAGCGGGGAGGTTAGTGCATGCGGCCCTTGTTGTTTGAATCAGAATGAGACAGATCTTTGCTCATCCCCTCCCTCTCCTCCCACCTCCCGCTTCCTGCCCACACGTCATTGATGATTCCTCGAAAGGCTTAAGGAGGTTTTTCCTGAATATTAGATCTCGACAACCTTTGGAATAGTTTCGATATTTGGTACATATTATCCGTTCAGGTAACATCAAATGGCGTCAGAGTGAGTGTAGGTCGTAAACGAGTAAGTAACATTAAAGGATTCTTGTGCGGGACCCCAGCCATGCCCAGCATCTATGGCGGCCTTTGCTTTTGTAAGCAAGGGAAAAAGAGAAAGAACTATGCACCAATGTTAAACCCGTCATGGATGTTGAATGTCATTAAAAATCGGTCTTTCTTTAATTACAGACACACTGAATGGAACGATCAAATCCGAGCGATCACTCTGAGAGTAACATTAAATCACTCAAGTTTTTTGGCACTTACAGGAAAAAAGACTCTTTGTTAGATACATCAATAGTACATTTGCTTCCAGTTATAACAAGCCCAAAAAGAGTTTATTATAGTCAGGATAGAACGAACGACAATTCTCGCTCCTTTCATTCTATGTACTGACACTGTACATTATTCATCAACCATAGCGAAATTTTCGCTTTATTTTAAGTGTCTCAGGAAAACATTTTTGAGAAAATCACCACAACGTGGTACACTGTTGAACGTGCACCAAATTCAGTTTCGTTGAAAAATCTGGTCGTGAGTCTGAAAAAAATTGGAATGAATTTCAGCTATAGGCGATATAAATGCGGTGCGAATAAACCATTCCCGAAAACAGTATCCGGATAAGCTTGAGTTTTCTTTGAACTTTTGGAATGTGGTCAAACTCAGAAAGTTCCTCAAGACATCTAAGAAAGTTTTGAGGGTTATCTGCAAGCTTTGCAGTTGGCAGCGGAAGTTCCCAAAAGTGGGGACACAGGACTGTGCGTCTTCGTTCAGGATTCTTTCTGCTTTTGGTCTCAAAATTTTATTCAATTTTTAGAATACGCAAACAACCGCAGGAAAGTACTTACCTTGTAAAGTACTTAAAAACCCACTCTTAGCTTCACTTACTTCTATTTCATGCTAACCACTGTATTTACAATGCGTTCTGCTGCATTCTGCTCTGACAAAGAAAAGAATAAAAATTGAGGAATGGGAATTTTGGAAGAACAGATGTAAATGATGTTTTTTGTAGATATCGACAACTTTTGTAAACTATTTGGCGCTCATGTAAAGCGTACACCTTCTCACAGGTGAATATTTTCTGACTCATTCATTTTGCAAAAATTATATAACAAAGGAGAAACACTGAAAATGAGCGATTATCATTAGTTTCATTGAAAAGAGTCATAATAAAATTGACTCTGATACAAAATCAAGAGTGTGATTTCAATTTTTTGAATAATATGTTCGTAGAAACTAACAAGAAGTTCTCAAACTTATGGTTAAGACGGTATTGGAAGAAGAAGGGTGCAAAAGTGTGCTCGTACCAAAGATAACGCAAGAAAAAAATTATCTAACAAGCTAGAGGAGAAAACACGCATGGAATGGAAAAAAAATGGAGAGTGATGAAAGCACGTATAAAATGAAAAAAAATGGAGCGTTTTGAGGAAATCAAACGTGGACATTCGTCAGATGTTATTTTGGCTATACTAGCGCGATCAAAGCCAGTGGCGCTTCCTTACTCTTCTGTGATGAAAACGCAGAACTGGAAAGTTGAACACTTTTGAAGGGAGTCACGTTGAAAAATCTCAGCGCCCGTGACTATACATGTTGTAATTTCAATATCCAATGAGTGCAAGTCTAGCCGAAGTTTGTCTGCAGAATGCCATATGGATTTGATTTGGTGCAGATCCATAGAAATCTTGGAAAATGAAGGCTTGGATGTTACATTATCTTGATCGAATGGAAGTATTTAGATGCATAGTCGTAGATAAAAAGAATGGCTAAAATATTCACGTGACTGCCATTGTAATGTTGAGTCAGCCCTAGTTAGACACCCACCATTTGGTGGACATGAGTTTTCAAGAGTGATTAAACAGGTTCAGGCAAGTTTGGGGAAGGTTTGCTTAAGCATTTTTGTATGAAATGAATGGATTCGACAACTTCAGGATAAAACTTTTCTGCTTTCCTATTTCAGGATGATCTCTCACTCATACTGACTTATGAAGCCATTATATCATGATTTCAAATGAAAAAATGGTCAGTGGTAGTTTTTCATTTTGAGCAATAATCTAGGATTCACGTCTGCTTCTCATGAAATAAAATGCTATTTCATTACTCTAAATAATAAAAACACTGATTTTACAACCCAAAGACTTTTTTAAGTGGGGAAAACTATAAATCTGCAACACAAATGCTCTACTTTCAGCACTTCTTTCATTTTTAGCACTAATGTTTATATCTCACTAGTTGACTTACCCGGCTCCGCCCGGCCCTGTCATTAATATATTCGTAATCAGCATGCTCGATTACCCCCCCCCCCTGTGCCAACTCCCAGCCCCGTAGTTCAAATTTTGCAAAAAATCGATAAAATCGATATCGATCGATGACGAAAAGTAGCCTATGACACCCGCCGGGGCCCGAAGTGTATGTGTGCCAAGTTTGGTCCGGATCGGTTCAGAAATGGAATCTTCTATTCGGAACATACGTACATACAGACAGACAGACAGACAAACAGACATTCAGCTTTATATATAAGATATAGTTGAACAACTTTCGAACCTACATTTTCATCTTATGTGTCGTCAATTTTTGAAATTTTGTAGTACCGCGAAGATTAATTTATACAGTGTGTCCCAAAAGTAAGTACACGCTTTTTAATCGTTAACATATCTCTTCCCATTGAGTCCTTTCCCGCCACTTAAGTGATATTCTGTTGAGGAGGCTTCAACTTAGATTTACAGTATGGAGCAAATCACCGATCGCTATTCATTACTGTAGGACTACTGTAGAACTTCGACAAGGATTTTAGGCTACTGGAAGCCATATTCTGCCTCGAAACAAAACCAAACAAGCCAAAAACTCTCATACTATGACCATGGAAGCCGCTGAATTCAAATATGAAGTTTTCACTTTACAGTGACGCTTCTTTCAAAGTTATCTCATGTACACCGTAATAGCCGAATTCCAAGTATTTGTCAGAAATGTAATTACACCGTCAAAAAAGCTGAAACACTCGTAAAAAATTATATATTGGAATAAGCGGGCGCAAAACCCTAGTAAACAATTTCTCAGATTTTTTGAAAAAATTTTGTCAGATGGCATATCTCACAACGGTTCCACATGCTGGAAGTTCTTACCGTAATCCTACAGTGACGAAGAGAGATCGGTGATTCATTCGATACTGTAAATCTGAGTTGAAGCCTCCTCTACAGAATGCTTTTTGAAGGGCAAAAAAGACCCTTTGGGAAGGGAAATATTGACGATTGAAAAGTGTGTACTTACTTTTTGAACACTCTGTATAGACA